TGTATTATCTCTGTGAAGTTTTACATATTCTTTCCTTCTTGAAAATATGCCGCACATTGCAACAAAGCAATTACATTTGTGTGCTCTTCTTTAGGGCTTTTTTTTAAAATTATTATATTGGTCACATAACAGGTTTGCACACTGCACATCTCAAATGAAGGTGCACATAAGACCCTGTGTTGTGGTGCGCTTCATTATGTTTACAATTAATGAAGCTGTGTCTTTATTCTTTTTTTTTTTCCCCCTAAGGTTGTCAATTGTATGTTTCGGGACCATTACATGATAGCTATAGAGAATTTTTGAGCAGGGTTAGTTCTTTTCAGTTGAAACATTGGTACAAGCACCTGATTTTTAAAGCAGGGCTTTTTCTAATCATCTGGTTCAATTCTGCTTTCTAGTGTCTATAGCTTATGTAATGCCAACAAGGTCTATCTTGTTTCTTAGGTCGTAAATTGACTTGTTTAAATTTTTCAAGTTTCTTTTTTGTTAATCCCTTCTTTTTCTTAATGATTTAAACATTTTGAAATGTTATTCCTGCTATGAGCAAAAATTTGAACTATATTAATTACTATAACTATAAATCAAAGTCACAATCTTTCTTTTATTAATTTTATAGGGATTCTTTTTTATCTGCTATGTCTAGTCCTATTTCTTTTTGCCTTTGTATTATCTGAATTTTCCTTTCACTGCACTCACTTAAATATATATAATTTTTTTTTGGTATTGTTTGTATTTTTAAAACAAACAACTTTGTAGATGATCAATAAAAAAAAAATATTTGTTATTGCTCTATGTTGGTCTTTGTTTTTGTTTTTTAATTTTATTCTTTTATTTTAATTGTATTGCATTGAAGTTGGATATTTTAATGTGTTCCAATTTCTTTCATAGTGAAATTGGCAGCTGTTTTACTTCATTTAATTAGATAATTGTGTTAAATATGTTTCAAAGTAGGTGTCGCTGCTATAGCCCAGGTTTGCATTTTAATTTGAAGACTCATTATCTCAACTTGCTGGTGTGAATCTGTCATTAGTTTCTATTTTTAAAAAAACTATACTACCGGGTGAATGCATTGTGACGTGCTGCTGTGGCGGGCCTCATAGTTATGATTGGAGGAGGTATTGTCAACTTTCAATGCAAGGGGTCCTCAAAGGTCACGCGATGCTTGATTGTCACTAAAGCATCTATTGGATTGGACATTGTCTCCCGTAGTAGAAATTTTGAACTGTTTGCAGTTAGTGCATGACTAATTTCTTGGCAAGTTAAATTTCTTCACGATACCGGTACCTAGGGTACGGCTCTCGGAAGTGAGGCAGTGACTTATCTCTGAAGAGAGATTATTTTAGTAACTTGGTGAGAATGTTTGCTATATGTTTTAACTTAGACTTTAATTAAAATAATACTGTGTATCCTTCCCATGAAGGTGACCAGCTTTACCTGTTCCATCTTTTCACAAATAAGTAAATGTCCGAAAAAGGGTGTTTTGTGATAAAAATGTGTCAGTTAAAATACTTAAATTAGTATGTTTCAAGATATATATACACGTATTAAAAAAGCCTTACTTGCTTTTAACCGAGAGTTCTCTAACTTTCAAGCATTGTATTGGAACTCATGGTGGAAAAAGTACAAGCATTTTAAATTTGAAATAAATGGTTAACTTACATTGTTCATTTCATTCGACTATTTTCTACATACCCTACATGTTTTTTATTTTATTTATTTACTTCAAATGAAAACAGTACCGGTACCCTAATTTATGTTTAGAATGATACTACCACTACTATTACTATCACGCGGTACCAATGACGAAAACTTAACGAGTTACAATTTAACCATCCCATTAAATTTAAGTACCGGTATGTTGTACTGTATGTAAATTATTTTATATTACTAATAGGTATTCTAAATGAAAATTTCATAATGAAATTAATTAAAATTGAACTATTCCCCTAAATAGAGCTTGACTTTATCAGAACAGAACCACAAATTTTAACTCTCTATCTCCAACAATAAAAAAGTTAGTAATTTTTTAAAAAACTGGAACAGGGTCAATTTTTAGAAGCCAGGAAAGTGAAGTTTTGACACCTGCTGTCTACTAAAATTAAAATAACTAAGTTAGAACTTTCAAATCTCTTGCCCACACAACCAATTATACAAATAACAAGCTCAATTTTTTTAGGGTTGTCACGAAAATGTAAATATATTTTTTATTCATCCAAAAACAAGCTGAAGCTCAATTTTACAAAATATTAAAATGGAGACAAAAAGTCAATTTTAGTTCATTTTTAAAAAATCAATTAGTTAAGTTATTATTATAAATATACAGGATTCAAGTAAAATGTAATTTAAATTAAAGCACAACAATGTGAAATCATCAGGCAAAGGTGAAGCCAACAAAATTATTTTCATAAATTATTTCAGCAAGGCATGTACACAAAAATTGAGAATTTCAAACATTTTTGAAAATTCATGAAAAATTAACGAAGCAAGATATCTTTACGAATGTTACACAGTATTGTAGAACATGTTAATCTTTTCAATAATAAAGCAACAGACTTAGGTTTAGGGAAAAAATTATTCTCCACATATATTTTAAAAATGGGCATTTTTGCACTGAAAATGTATACTTTCCAGCACCTTAAAAAAAGTTCGTAATTAGATATACCGGGTGTATATAGCTATAAAAGTTATGGAAAATCTTTTGGAAACATTATTAACTATGAATTAGTAATGAAAATCAATTTTCTGCCTTTATTAGGATGTCTGTATGGATTTAGTCAGTTTAGAGACATTTCCCTGCACTGGTTTAATGAGACATTTCTGAGTAACTGTAGGCTACTTGTACACCAACAACCTGGGAGAAGAATATTTTATTTAATTTGTACCGTATTAATTAAATTTAATTTATATTATTTAATAGTAATAGTTATCAACTTAGTATTTATGATCATGTCATTGCTATCAATATAATAACAAAATGCAAATATAATATAACTAATGATATTACAAGCGGTAGTACTAACCTGTACTGTTGTCCAGTAGTGTTCGTGTTGTTACACGGCATGTTTTGGCAGTGGTCTGGGTCTTCTCGTTCTTTTGTAATGGAATGGTATCTGTCTTAAGTTGTTTTCAGTTTCATCCACTGAAATATGAAATGTTAAAATTAAAACTCAAAAGTTTACAAGATTTTAACTACCTCCTATTTGCCCTAATTAATATGAATACTGCATACAAGGTGTATAATTTACTAATACAAAATTTTTTAAAAATTCGAAGTACGGTACAGGTATTTTTCATTTCCCTAATTCCATTTTAAATGTTTCCCGGTCGTGATTCAAAAAATGTTAGGGAAATTATGGATACCATAACCGGTAATTTAAATTGTGCTACCGGTATTATGTGATAGATTGTGAATCAGTCAAGGGGTCGTCCATTACTTAAACTTACGTTAACACTTTTTAATCAATTTTTGGACCCCCCCACCCGGTCAAACTATCAATGAAATTAATTTTTTTCTACCACCCCCCCCCCCCCGCCCCATAAAAAAGGCATTGTAAATATTTTATAATAAACAAATTTATAAATACATTTTACTTTGTGCTGATCTATTTTAATGACCGTAAAATTGTAGTGTAGGAAAAACATTTACATCTTTAGCTTGTTAATCAACGAGTTAAAAAGGTTTTCCTTTTTACACTTACATTTTAATAATTTTATAATGCAGAAACAATTTAAAGGTTGTTAAAGTTAAAGATACATATCATATTGTTTGGGGTACCGGTATAAATATGAATACGGTACCGGTATTGTCAGTAAAGCTGACACTGACAATTATAGTATAGTTTCTAGCTGCTATCATATTCCCAAGGAGTAGCCAGGTTTGCTCTATCGTAACAATGGGCATCAGGGACATCATTTGGTTAGGGTAGGTGGCATTACATTTACTGGAGGCGCCACAATACATAGCAATTTGAATAGAACCTGAAAATAGGGGGGGGGGAAGGGGGCGAAAGCCCCCGTCACCCAAATGATGCCCCTGCAAAAGACCTCAGATTTAAACGTGGATATGCATGTACGTAATTTAGTAGAGTTCGTTACATACTAGAAAAAAAAAATGAATACAGATAAATTGCAAATGCAACAATGGTAGGGAAATAGTCCAGAGCTTCTAGAAGTCCGCAATTATTGGCGAGCTTATTCAATTATTGAATTACCGGTAGGCCTACCGTAATATGTAAAAGAGTAAACTTTGGGACGTGTTTTACAGAATTAGAAAAGAAGTAAATGAAGACTTTTTAAAGTACCGTAACTAACTAGTAATTGGAGTTTGAGTGTTGTTTTTTTTTTCAATTCTGAAATGAAAAATAATAAACAGCAGCTATTTTGATTTAAATTTTATTTCATTAACTTTAACTTAAGTTTTTATAAAAATTAAGTAGTTCTCAAGCCACCAGTGACCTAGGGGAAATGACTCTTTAATTATTTTAAAGCTTTTAGCCGGAAAGTTATATGGATGGTTAGCCTTTAATTTTAGCTATAGATAATAAAAAAAAAAAAAAATTTAAAATACGAATTATTACTATTAGGCTACTCACAGATCCAGGGACGCTAAAAAATTTACCAGTGATTTATACTAATACTATTATTATAAGTTTATTTTAAATTACACTTGACTTGTCTTACTGTACGGTACGTGACATTTTCTTCTTTGCTCGCTGATTCTTACTGATAGCTGATAGGCCGACTGATTTTGATGCATTTTGTTATAATTATGAATTATGTATAGTATAATAGTATAGTATAGTATAGTCAGGGTCTTTTTAAAATATTATTCACAAATATTTTTTTATTTTAAATTATGTATCAATTTTAAGTACCAAATTTTCATTTATCAAAGATTACAACAAAACGCCTCCAAATCAATTCATTTACTTTAAATTTAAACCTCAATATGTGTTGAATCGTTAATTTGAAGTAGCATTGAATTTTTAAAATATAAAAGTAAAAACGGAAAACGAAATTGTTTCCATGGACGCCCTACAGCCTTCCTTAGTATGGCAGTTCAGTGTAAATTATTACAATTACAAGCCATAATAAAATGATAGTCGAACTGCATCAGTTAAGATGTTACTTTTATAGTTAATATAAAGTTTTAGAAAACCATTAAAATTTACTTTTACTTCTTTTATCGCCATAGGCCATAAGTTTAAATTTAAGTTAAAAAATGAAGAAGTCCAATCCTGGTAGTCCTGTACATATTATGGTTAGGCCAAAGGTAACAAGAAGTTTAATTGAGTCAAAGAAACGGCCAAATTGGCCAAAAATTGCTGAGGCAGCAAGAAAAACCAGTGGATCAAGAATGAAATTTTTTCAGCATCCTTGGGAAGTAAGTTTATTCTGAGTGAAAATTAACCCAATCTGACATTGAAATGCTTTAAAAAGTATACAGTTTCTCTGTCTGTTACTAACAGTAAAACAGTGTTAGTATCTCCTTATTTATTTATGTAATTGAAGGTTTAATAATACTATGACTAATACTTAATACTATGTTCTAGAGAGACACAACTATTTATTAATTTATTACATTTCTAGGCACTCCTCAGAACGGCAGTCCCAAATCATGCCAAATGTCAAATAGAATACTTTATGTTAGAAAGTTTCCGGTTACCAGCCTGCACTGATAGCTGCTGATAATTGGTGACATGATTGTTCTAACTTGTAATTTTGTTTACAAACTTGTAATAATATAAAAAAACAATACAATGGCCGACAGACCCCTAGCGCCAGTTCTAATTTCAGGAAACCTGCAAACTTATGACATAATGCTTAAATAAGACTTAAGGCACTGTATGACACCATGCACTGTATGACATCATGTACTGTATGATAGCATGCTTTGACTTTGGTAAGAGTAAGAGGGGCTTGCAGAACACCGTCTAATATGAAACAGCAATTCAAGAGAGATATCTTTTGTTTTTCTTTTGCATTTTCTTCTTCTTCCTATTTCTTAATTTTAGGAGATGATGAAGTTGATGAAGAAGAGGCTAATTAAGATTGCAATTTTGAAAAAATTCATTAATTGAAATAAGCCATTAGCCGTAAACAAATACAGCACCAATTATTGGCGGCTATTAGGCTGGTAGACGTGCACTTTGTAACGAAAAGTATTTTATTTCACATTTGGGCCAGCAGTTCTGAGGAGTGACCATTTCTACAATGTCCAATTGACTGCTATAATTATAAAAAATATTGTCATGTTTCTGTTCGCATAATATCTTGCTTAATTCACAATTAATTTGTTATCACACTTCTATACTACAACATGTTCACACTCATACATTACTAATGAGTTCTCTTACTCTCAGTGTCCCTCTCATAACCCTCCTCATCTATTTATAGCATTTATACTAACAAATTATTTTTCTTTGCTCAGACTTTTGTCATATCAGAATTAAGCCACCTGACTGACACTCAACTCACAATCCATGTTCCAACAACCAAATTCTAACACCAATAAACATATTCATATCTTGAAAATATGTAACTATTTTATAATGAAATAATTATTTTTATATTTTTCCTTCTGTTTGAAACAAATTCTTTAAAAAAATCAAACTGAATCATTGATTACTTGATTTCTTTTAATGGATTTTTTTGTTGTTGTTGTTGTTGCCATTTGAAAACTCCGTCTTAGTGAAGTATATTGTGTTGCAAATAATTTAAAATATAATAACTTGGAGTAATTTATATTGCTGATTAGTATCATTTATAAATTATCTATTAATTGGCCTCATCACATTTAGACCAATATCACAAAAGTATATCAAAACTATGTGTTCCAATACTTGTGCAACGTATCTATAACTCAGTCAATGTTCTGTTGAGAAAACAAGGTCATTTGTTTTTTTTAATGTAAATTATATTTCCTTGGGTAATATAATTTATTATTATTACAGTGGTCTTATATAGCGCGGTATCCTAGCCTCACGGGGCTTCACATAAAAATCAGCCAAAGAACCCTAAAAAACATGACATTAAAAAAACAGTTATGCAAAATTATTCATTTAAAAACAGCTGTGTAAAAAGATTGACCTTACACACCCAAGTACTATTTACCCCTGTCTAGCCATGGATGGCACCCAGCAGCATCGAGCATTGTTTATCAGTCAGAGGGATGTGAGAGAATAAGAGCACAGCCTAATGTTTTTGTCTCGCTAACTTTGAGGTGTGGTGGATGGAACTGGTCTGATGGATAGCAGGGTACACAGAGCGACAGATGTGATAAATATGATTATTGAGAAACATGTTGTCAGAAAGAATGTAACCAAAACTCCTAGCACAGGATGTGAACTGTATGTCATTGTCAGAGCTACCTACTGGACATGAGGTGGGAAGAAATGAGTTAAAGGATGATTCATGAATAATAATGAGGAGTGCTTCTGTTTTGTCATCATTCAGCTTCAACTTGCTGAGAGTCTTTCATGACTTGACATCACCAATGCTCTCTTGCGAGGTGTGGATAGCCAATGACTGGCTCTTAACAGCATGCCTCCCGAGCAGGAGGATCAGTGGCCTGGTATACAGGACTAGATTCAAAAGGTGCCACTGTGGCACTCTATACACCAAATAGCACTACCTGATAGACAGCCATCAACAGCGACCGCCTGTGTTCTATTGTCATCGGAGACATAGGACGGAAACCAAGCCAAAACCAAACCAGAAATTCTAAAGTAATATCCTAGGGTTTTGAAAAGGGTTTGATGACCAACAGTATATTACAAGGATTACATTAAAAATAATAATCAAGAAGCGCTCCTATTCCATGAATTATACCTGTGATTTCTTAGGGTAATATAGCATGTATTTTTGCTGAATGGCCTCATGAACCACGCCATGCTTTTTGTATTCTTTTTAAAATATTTTCTCTTATCAGGGGCATTGCCAGGGGTTGCGGACCGAACCTGTTGACACCATCTCGGGGGGTGACACCATCTCAGGGGGGTGACACCAACTCAATGGGTGAGACCATCTCAGGGGGGTTACAGCATCTCAAGGGGATGAAACAATCTCAGGGGGTGGCACCATCTCAGGGTGGGGACACCATCTCAGGGGGGTGAGACTATCTCAGGGGGGTGACACCATTTCAGGGGGGTGACACCATCTCAGGAGGGTGACACCAAATTGAAAAATTGCATACTGCTGGAAGACTGTTCAGTCTAACTTAATTTCATGAAAGGTTAACCGATCATAAGTAAATTTTCCACACATGTAACGAATCCAAATGTGTGCTTGGTTAAAATTTCAAGGTTGATTTTTTTAAAAATGAGGTGACCCTGTAATTAGGTCAGAGAAACACCATTTTGACCATGATTCAAGGCCAAATGAAGTGTTGGGAAACTTTCTTAGACAGAAAGCTATATTTTTCAAAATTGTAAGCAATAAAGCTTTCCATTGATACCAATGGGCCATTCTAAGTGCATGTTACGGTTCTTAGATACATTTACCCCCTGACCTTCAATTAGCTTGCTTTTGATCTTGTCACTGTTACCGCACAGGGTGACACCAACAATAGCTATGCCGCTGCTTCTTATTATTATTATATAACCTGGTGGAATTTGATATTGGCCACAGAGAAGTAGCAGTACTAAGGGGCTATCCTTAGAGGAGGACATTTTATTATATCTGATATTTTATTTATAACCTAACCCAGCCCTTAGTATCACATCTTGTCATAGTAAAAAAAAAAGACAACCTCATCACAAATATGTGACCCATCCAAACTTAGATTTTGATGGCATTTACTGATGGCCTCCTAAATGGAAAGTTAAACTTTAAATGGAATCTTATGTTTACAGGACCGTACATTACTTAGTGATGCCTTTGAAAATCCAATCACTGACAGAGAGAGCTGGTGGAGAAAAGATATTAAGGTAAAATTTCTGATAAATTTAAGTCATACTTGCAGTTCTTTGTGTATTTAAAATATTTATTTGTCATGATTTGCACTTTAGTGCACATTACAATAATATGTTTCAAATTCATAAGACCTGGATTATGCCTCATTAGCATACCATAATATACTTTTTTTGTAGAATACATGTTTTGTTTTGTTGTTTTTAACTTTAAGCTCCAGATCATTGTTCTCAATTTTTTTTCTTCTTGAGTCACCTTTTTAGTGTTTTAATTTTGTTCCTTTAGATTATATTGTATATAAATTATTATAAGCTTAAGCTTTTTATTGCAGTACAAGTGTTCATTATATTGTGGGTTACTTTGCACAATAAAGACATTTTCAAGATATTTAGAGCCTGTTTTGTGCTCAGCATTTTTTTCCAAGCAGTTGGTAAAATAACTTTGATATTTAGTTGGATTCACTATAGTTTATATTTTTAAACTTAAATAATCCTTCTACTTCTAGGTACGTCATCTACAACCAGTGTACTTTGAGTCGAGAAACACTCTACAATGCTCTATGTCATGAAACTATTGCTTGAGATGAAATTACTCTTCATGTTTAAACTTTCAATGTTCTTTGATGTTTTTCTTTCCTTCCACTAGATAACCCCAACACCCGGTACTTACACCATGACAGACTTCCTCACAGAGCTGTCCCTAAAACCGAACACCTACCAGTTCAGAGCTACTCCAAGGAGAACCATGTGTGGAAACGGGAAGGGGGCACTTCTTTTGCCCGGAGGCTATGAGTATCAGGATTTTATTACACAGTGAGTAGTTAGTTTAAGGAGAATGTTATTATAAACCTGTTTTCCTTGTTATTAGGTTGATCTGCTCATCAACTAAACTAAGATGTCTTGTTTCAGAGTTCTATTTATTAGCTTTGTTGCCCAGTTTAAAAAAAAAAAGCTATTGTATGTATTTATTGTTATAAATTTATGCATTTTACACTTTGTCAAACTTATTTTTAAAAACTGTGTTAGCGTATGCAGCTAAACTGAAGTATGTGACTTGTGTATGCAGATAAAACAAAATTATGCACTGGGTATTATGCACGTTTTGGTTTTGAACAACTTAACTTCTGTCTCTAACATAGAGCCCATTTGTTGCCAACATTGATATCGTCTGACACATACGTTTTTGAATTCATTTTGAATTCTTTTGTTCCTCGTTTTGTCTTGTCTGCTGAAGGGGCATCTAGCTGAAAAGCTCTTCTGATTTTCCTCTCATTTCATTTTAAGCCTAAATATATCTTGTTCCACTATTTCCATCACACTGCTTGAACCCAGTTCCTTATATCTTATTCTTGATTATTTATTATGAATACTTTTGAATACAAATTTTGCATCCCTTGGCAACCCTTAAAACTAGGTCCCTGAATTTCTATGTTTACTTTTCAGTCTATCTAAAAAGCCAGCCACCTACAGATTTAAGGCAGAAGAACGAGACGCGAAGGATTATCTCAATTTTGGAATACGAGATAAAGTAAGTGTCTCTATCACTTTGCAGTGATGCAATGGCCATCCAATCACTTTGGAGTGATGCAATGGGCCGTCCAATCACTATGAAGTGATGCAATGGGCCATCCAATCACTTTGCAGTGATGCAATGGGCCATCCAATCACTTTGCAGTGATGCAATGGGCCATCCAATCACTATGAAGTGATGCAATGGGCCATCCAATCACTTTGCAGTGATGCAATGGGCCATCCAATCACTATGAAGTGATGTAATGGGCCATCCAATCACTATGAAGTGATGCAATGGGCCATCCAATCACTTTGAAGTGATGCAATGGGCCATCCAATCACTTTGAAGTGATGCAATGGGCCATCCAATCACTATAAAGTGATGCAATGGGACGTCAAATCACTTTGCAGTAAATGGGTCAACCAAGTGGATTTCACCCTCTGCCCCCCACCCCCCCACCCCTCTTTTCCTTTGCCACTGTGACCATGACAATAAGTAAAGTGGTGGGAACAGAAGGGTGGCTAAGATGGTTTTGCCTTGATGATTATATCAATATTTATTATAATAATATGCGTACATTGATATCATAAAAATGATACTACTAACCAGTGACCAGAACTCAAGAGTTTATCAGTTTATCTCAGCCCTGCTCCGTGTTAACAATCCTTCAATTTTGATCGGATTCAGGATCGCTACTGGTTCTATAACGCAGTTTTCACTTTTTCCTAATGGGTGGAACACATATCTCATTTCCTGTAGATAATTCCTGAAATTGCTCTCAGGTCCTGAAAGATTCAGCTCTAATTTTTCATTCTATTTTAAAACTGAATTTTTCTTTTTCATTCATTCTATTTTAAAATCTAAAATTGAACATTTTTCAGTATGTTGATGTACCACCGAATGCTTATGTTGTGGAAAATTATATGTCTGTAGATAAAGAAATCTATCCTGTTAAGTAAGTTTGGTTTAAAATAATCAAATAGATTTATATTGAGGTCTTAAAAAGTTTTAAAATGCTATTAACAATAAGCACTGTGTAGAAACTCTGATATCAAATAAACCTTATCAAGCTTGTTTGCATTTGCAACATTACAAGAAAATGAAATTTATGACCATGGAGACTTAATTTTAAATTTTAAAAAAACTTATTTTCAGTATATATTTTATAATACCTTTAAAAGTTGATACTTCACAACAAAGAAGCAAAACAATTCTACATTTATTACCTCTTGACCTTAAATTTTCACTTCACTTTGAGATTATCTTAATTTCTTGTAATATTTAATTTTTGTTCTTTAATTCTTGCATAGGAGCTCGATGTTTCGATCTACAACAAAAAGGTTTCCCACTTACATCTTCAGGCCTGTAAGTCAGAAATGTCTTAAAGCCGTGCTCTATAAGATTTTTTTTTTTAACCTCATCTATTCTAGTTCTTTACAAGATAAATAAAAGTGTATATTGCTATCTTTGTGTAGACACATATTTCTTACAGTATAGACAGTTTACATGTTACAGCATAGGTGGAGAAATAACTATTCAAACAATGAGAAATACAAATGTGGCAATGTGCCACTATTTGCAACTGCTTTTAGGTAACATTTTATATGCGGCAGTATGCAACAGATAGGAATAAGAGAATCCACTCTCATAGTATAGTGTGACTGCTATGGGTAACCCCAAGCACGTACACATCCATGGTCATTTAAAGTAACACACAGCTGTGTACTGGCCTTAAATTTTATGTTGGTTATTTACACGCGGGAATAACCATCCCTGCCCTGGGGTTGACCCATGGTCAGCTCAGGACACAGGTTCCCTGTGAGTGTGTGGGGGGGGGGGGGAACTGGGACTTGGGGTGTGTACATTTTTGGGATTGTGGAACGGGTTCGGGTTGGTGGCATGTCTGAGAGATTTTACTGTCGGCTCTGTCAACGGATTGTACCTTTTATGTTGGTTATTTCCACGCGGGAATAACCATCCCTGCCCTGGGGTTGACCCATGGTCAGGTCAGGACACAGGTTCCCTGTGAGTGTGTGGGGGGGGGGTGAACTGGGACTTGGGGTGTGTACATTTTTGAGATTGTGGAACGGGTTCGGGTTGGTGGCATGTCTGAGAGATTTTACTGTCGGCTCTGTCAACGGATTGTACCTTACATTAAAAAGCTATAGTTCTCAGACCTGATTGTTTTATTGTGATTTTATTTAAACTGTAAGCGTACCACTCAGCTGCACAAAGATGAATTAAATAAAATTGTTACCAGGCTGGTTGTTGAACAGCTGAATTCATTGTTTCTGATTCTTCTTTTGTGTTTTTAAGCACAATTACCAAAATATGTCAAGTAAAAAATTATGAAAAAAGCAAAAAGGAAGGATATTGTAAATAGCTTGTAAAGTGGATGGACTTAATTCATTGTTATGACATGCTTTTTTTTATTTTAAATTAGCTACAGATTATATTTATTAATTATATCCAACAGAAAGATGGCCCCTCTCCCGGTTCATATGAGATTAAAGATACTGCACCTAAACCCCCAGCAGTGACATCTTGTTTCAGGTCTAAAACTCCAAGATTTAATCTGCCTCACACGGTAAAGCATTAATAGCTATCAAATAATTCAGCTTTGCTTAATAATTCCACTCTTGCATGCTATCATTTTTGCCAATCCATTTATTCTATTTTTAAGTCCATTGCCAAGTAGGATACCTTTTTTTTTTCACTTACAGTTCTTTTTTTTTTTAACTGGGCAGAAATAAAATACCAAAAACATTCCATACATTACAGTGAATAGGTTCTCTCTGTCCTCTAATAAAATACCAAAAACATTCCATACATTACAGTGAATAGGTTCTCTCTGTCCTCTAATAAAATACCAAAAACATTCCATACATTACAGTGAATAGGTTCTCTCTGACCTCTAATAAAATACCAAAAACATTCCATACATTACTGTGAATAGGTTCCCTCGTTAAGGAAAGATTTAAAAGTATATATTTTATATTTATATATCTACTTATCATAAATGCCAACCTGTTGAATAAAAAAGCTTTACAAAAGTCCCCCAAAAACTGTACAACAGGATGAAAAACCATGCAGAAAACAAGGAAAAGAGAAAGAAAAAAAAAGTATAACTTTGTTCACCATTAAATTATCAATGTTTTAAATGCATGCAAACTTTGCCTTCTTGGTGAACCTAATTTTCAAGCATCATCTTCCATTCACTCCCCACACATTTTAGCATGTATACATTTGAATAGATCGCATCTTTTAAATATAAAATTGGGTGTTTTAAGTTACTTTTTTTGTCAGTTATCACATTTTTGTTATAAATTGACTAAGATGATAAATTTTATGGAAACTCAGATAAAATTAAACATATTTTTTAATAAATAATGATAGCTGTAGTAATTCAGGTTCCTGTTTTAAATTAATAAGATAACATAAGATTCTTTATTGATACAAATAAATGGAAATGTTTTTTAATTACATTGTAAATTGTACAGATTCATTCTAGCATAGAAATCAGCCATAAACTCCTTTAGTGACAACAATGACTTAATTAGTGATCATTTAGAGTGGGTAATCGCTGGTCATGAATGAAAATAAATTGTGTCCATCTTAACAAAGTTAATGAGTTTACCTTCAATTTATAGCTGTTCACAGTTACTGTGGGAAAAGTCCTGTGGAAAGTTTTTTTTTTTTTTCCATAGGCACTATGGGGATATGAGGTGATAAGAATTGCACAAACAATGTCTACATTTTGAGGGCCCATGATCAATATATTGATCATTCTGGCTCCTGGTTTGAATTTAGAGTTGCTTATTCTTATATGATTTGCTGTCCAAGGCTAACGAGTCCCATCCACCTGGCGTGCTTGGGATGTTGGCTTTGGTGGGGATTGAACTCCAGACTCCTATTAGTCAGTTTAGACCGCTTGGCCACCCAGCACCTGATTTGTTTTCATGGTTTACTCCAAGTAGTTACCCCCGAACACCTCTTTAGGAATATTAACGAATGGTCTCAACGAAACCATGTTCAGTTTCTAAATTTATGTAGCCTACCAAACTTTTGAACCAATTCCTGTAAACTAATTTATTGCACAGCCAGTTAAGATTTCAATTGTGTGTGCAAAAAAAAATAATAATTTTCTGAATCCACTGAAAAATCGCCCAGAATCCTGTACGGCCATAAAATGCAAAAAACATTAAAATGTGTAAACCATACAGGTTGGTATGTATCTTACATATATTTCTATTTGTGTGTGTGCGCTTGTGTATTCCTTAACCTAATTATCCATTTTATTGGCTTTGTTACTGATTTTATTAATGGTAGAAAATATTTTTACATTATGTCTCTAAATTTCAGTGAGAAAATGCAACATGGATATTATAATAGTCTTGAGTTTGGGACTGTAAGAACAAGCTGGCAGTACATCAAAATTTTATGACATCACTGATGGGTGACCCATTCATTTCTGCTTAATGATCAACTACATAGTATTTTGTGGAAAAAAAATGATATCTTGGATAGAAATATATGTATGGTAAAACTTCAGTTCGGGTGCACATATTATTTCTCAACAAAATTAGTTAATTTCGCATGAAAACTCTGGCTTATAGGGTAAAAAATACAAAACAAATGGATCTATGTATCTTTGAGGGCTGTTCAAAGACACTTTAAAATCGAATAAAAAGAAAATTAAGCGCTGTACAACTTAGTATTAGTTAACAATGTCTGCTTGGAGTTAATTTAATAAAGAATACACGAAAATTTACATGCGAAAATACAAAATGCAATAATAGAAATAATATATGCTCCTGAACTAGACTTTTACCTAAATAGTTTCAATAATCTGTCAGTTTATTATATCTTGACAATAAAATTTAATGTTCAAGATCTTATTCTGTGATTTCTCAGTTTCTTGTTTTTTAAATATTAAGAAAATATTTCTAAAGATGAATTATTGAAGTACTTCAAATGAACAAGGATCCACTAATAAGTCTTACATGTCAGGCAAATCAAAGAAGTATTAAGTGTAGTTAGAGTGGTGCAGAAACATGCGCACCACCAATTTAAAAATACTGGGAACCTGAATTAAATGCTTGATGGTATCCATTTTATTTTAAACTAATCAACATGAATTTATTGCACATTGTGCTAGTCTATTCTGTGAACATATTATTGGTGAGTGTGTATCAGTTAAATATGTACAATCATTTTCTTATCATGGATGATTGTTCCACACACAGAAAAAGGCAATAAAAGCGATTTTGTAGTGGTCCGGGGATTTTTTAACTTGGAAAAAATTTAGTTAAATTATTTAAAAAAACTGAAGAGTCTTACAAATTTGATTTACTTAGCGCCAAATTTTTCACTGCAGGACTCCTGAGTATATTCATTAGATATTACTATCAGTCAGAACTTCATTGAAAGTAACCTTGACGTAAAAGAAATTTCATTGTCCTACCATCTTCTCTGTTCAAAGGCTGCGGCTATAAATTTATAAAATAGCATAATATTCATTGTTTTGTTTATTTCTTGAATTCTTATATTTAACAGTTTTAATAGTCTTCTTGTGCTCTATTATTATTTTTTAAATTACTTTCTCATATTAAAAAAGATATTGACCAAGTCTCTTTGCTCACATGTGATCAGCGGATGTTTAAACGTTTGTTACTTTGACATCTTTAATTAGTTTTGATTTATTTAATCATTGATTTCAGAAGGGAAAACTTTTTAACACTGTAATCATTCAAAATGTAACACCACACTTTTCTTTCTTTATTATAGAATAAATTAAGTTATGCTTTTAAATGTATAATCTATTAACTTCACTTAACTTTAATGTTTCTAAAATGTTACCCAATTATAAAGAAAAAATAACATAACTCCTAATAATGTTGAGGCATTTTTATTTTAATGTTTAACTTTATTGACTATCACCATTGTCTTTCCTTCACAGCTAGATTAAATCAGTATCTTAGGTAAGGTTTGATTAAGGTGCAATTTAACATTCAAATGGTTTCTCTACAATGCAAGTCATGCTTTCTGTACCTCTCTTTATTATGATAACCCAGGCAGTCCACAAAATTTTTTGAGTGAGGAGCCAATTTTATTTAATAATACCTGCTACGAAAATATTTTAGTAGCCGCATGCATTATAAATTAATATGAAATAAGACCCTTTATTTGATTTTTAATTACACAAATTATTTCATTAATCTATTTGAAAGCTTTATCACAGTCCAACACTCGTATAATTAGTCAAATAAGACCCCCATATTTCCCTTCAAAGAGCTCCATTCATCTTTGGGTGCAGATACTGATAACCCAATAGAAAAATGCCTTGTGTAGAAATTTATGTAACAAAGTTTTGAGTTGATATATTTTGAAATATATCATATGTATGTATTAAATATGATCAAGCATGTGCTTTTGACTTATAGCAAAATAACATACACAAGTGAAATGATAATTTAAGGCAGGGATAAGGAACCTATGAAAACAACAATATTCTACATTATTAAAAATTAGTCATACATTTATGGAGGCATATTTTTAATTAAAACATCAAATTGTAAATTTATAAAGGAAAGCCAGGGGTTGTGTAAAAATTTGGAGCTTAAGCCTTGTAACTATCTATAAGTATTTACAAAAAATAATTAGATCTATAAATTTGTTGTGGATGTTGAACAAGTACTTGAGCAACCTGTTTTCTCTTTCTCCAAATAAGTTGAGAACTTAAAATTTGTCATATCCACTCTAATTAAAGAACCTAAATGATGTGGGCTGTGCCGAATATATTCATTCTTTTGTAACGGTGTTGAGGTTTTAAACATTATAATGTTAGCACTCTTGCTTTAGTCTGACATCAGATATATAGGTTAAGTAATTCTGGTGTCTTTATTTTGTTCCTCATAGTTGCAAGTTCTGAAAGTCATTGCAAATCATTTAGCAGTAATTTTTACCGTCTCGTCATTTGCAGAAAGTACCTGACCCAGGGACTTATGCTAAGACTTTTCAACATCCAATGCCTGACACCATCTCCAATCTAGGCAGGCAGCATGGACTATTCTTCACAAGTGAATTTCAACTATAAGCTGTTGTGGGTTTCCAGAACTCATAGATTTTGGAGTTACTTTATTGTCTTAGTGTGTTGTACATTTTTAACATTGTGGGATTTAAAGGTTAATATTGTTATTTTTTACATTCTGTAAAATACTTTTAAAGTTTGTGTCTCTGTTTATTTGGTTGACAATTATACACATTTATATTTCTGAAACTATGATAAGAACTGATGTTATGTTTTGTGTTAAGGTGTCACATTCGTGGACAATATTTTATTCCTTTTCAAATTATTTATGTTTAACAACACAGGAGATAGGAAATGTCTATTTATAATTCTATTATATCAAAGATCTCTAAGTTTAACATGGTGGAATTTTCTGTTTTTGTTAAAAAATGTTCTTTTTAACAAAAGTCAGTTCAAACTATGCCTTCATATTATTTTTACAATAAAATATACATTTTAAAAAGAATGATTTAAAATTATCATTTGCATAGTTAAAGAAAATTTAATTAGACCACTGTAAAAGATTTTTTTTAAAAAAATTTTAACATGCTACAAAATCTTTCACCATTCTGATATCACATGGGCCCTGCAACCCCTGTTGATAGTATTGTGCAAATAGAACTTTTCTGCTATTTTACTGACCCAGTATTGTACAAATAGAACTTTTCTATTTTACTGACCCAGTATTATACAAATAGAACTTTTCTGCTATTTTACGGACACAGTATTGTACATATAGAACTTTTCTGCTATTTTAATGACACAGTATTGTACAAATAGAACTTTTCTGCTGCTTTACTGACACAGTATTGAAGAAATTGCACTTTTCTGCTATTTTACTCTCACAGTAATTAACAAGGATTACTCAGAGCCCTTTTGATATTTTTTTTAATTTGCTGTGGCTTTCAGTATTATATTTACTATTTACTCAATTAGTACACTGCATTTAATGTAAGCACTTTTAAAAATTACTCTTCCATTTTACAATTCTTCATTTTTGTAAAGTATGTCTAAATCTAAGCTATTCTCAAAACATTTAAAAGAATGCTCAAAATTATGACAATTATAGAAACTGTTTTTTGCAGTTGATCTTTTATATTGGTTATTGCAACAACAACAAAAAAGAAAGAGAAAAGGGCCTTTTAAAACCCAAACAGGACTAATTGATTGGAAGATAATTGGACTTAGGAAATAAACAAAATTTGGGAATCTTATTCAATTTTGTTAGCATTACCTCTTTTAGGACATATAAACAAAAATATATAAATCAATTCATTCATTCAAATTAATTAAGTTTAGTAATTTAGTAAACAAAATACGTTTTCTCTTTGTTCTTATATTTTAATGAATAAATTTAATAATTTGCAATAATTTAACAGATTTCCATTTTTTATGATTGAGGTAATGTCAATTTTCATCTCTTTACAAGATTTTAAATGTATTTTGTTTTTTATAAAACAGATATTCTGTTATCTTTGTATGGTATGTAGAAACAACTCACAGTATTATATATCTTGGCCTATATTACCAATACACATAAGCACAGATTTATAGAGTTTATAGTGCTTTTACAGTTAATAGAAGTTATCTCCATCAAATGTTTCCACTGTACAGTAAATTTTATTTACTTCAACAGTTCAGAGTGATTTTCACCTGTCACTTTTTTCTACATATTTATTGAATATAACAATGTACTTTGTGTCTTTTTTGGATTGGAACAAGGCATTAGGTCTTATTAGCTACTGATATATTACTCAATAATTTCCAACAGTGCACAATATATAAACTACTTGTATTGTGTTGAATAGTGCACAATAAAAACAGTGACAATCAGGTGGCAGTATATAAACCCAGGCATCAGGCATGCTACTATTGGCTGTATTCTAAAACTTAATAACTCTTCTTCCACTATTAGACTGATAAGCAATAAAAGGTACATAGAAAATTGTCATAAATTTGAATGCTGTCACTCATTTGTTAATGAATTTTACAATTTAAAAGTAGGCTTAATGAACACTAATTGGTATTATTTTTAGTGTTCACTCAGTAACTCACTGGATGTTGACTTAAACATATAATTAAATTAACTGTGTTTCTTTGGTTGTAAAACTGCATTTTTGCTTAAAATAAAATGTCTTAACTTTTTATGAAGCTGAAAAATATTTTATCTACTTATATGTAAGCAAGAAGGATTCTCCACACAATCTCCGTGTCTTTATCTACTTATATGTAAGCAAGAAGGATTCTCCACACAATCTCTGTGTCTTTTGTTATAATAAAAGAAATAAATTCAGACCCTATTATTAACCCTTTGGTTACCGGTACTGATGACATTGACGCGACGTCACGATCACCCACTTTCAATTACGAAGGACATCCAATTGTTGTCATAACAAAGAGGCAAAGAACTTGTATGAAATACCAAGGACATCATGTCGACATCACATTTCAATGCTATATATTTCTTTATTCATTAATCTATAGAAAAGTTAATAAGCAAATGGGACAGAGAATGAAAAATACTGAAAATTTCTTCATTTAATTTTTTGCAGAGTGCAAAAATCGATCCCAAAACCAGCGGTAATGAAAGGGTTAAAGGCTCCCAACACAGACATATCTTAGATTTAAAGTGATAATCTATTCACTACCAAAATAACAACTTTTTCTTTTTTTAGAATAAAAATGACAATTTCAACTTTAACAATAAATTTATAAATAATTTTTGTACTGAGACTTATATAATATTTCCTATTGGTATTTATTTTATTGTTTGCAAACATTTTATAAAATGTAATACTAATACAATAGTGATGAGGAGTACAAAACATAAATAATTTTAAATAAGTTGTAACAAATAGTGAGTTATGCACAATCGGATTGGAAATATAGAAAATTGTTTTTACTAATTCATCACATTTTTCAGATTTGACAATAACCTGTGATATCACAGATATCTCAATTTCAGAGAATTCTAACCAACAGCAACAAATCATGACAAAATTAGCTACAAAAAAAAATGTATACTCAAGAAAAGCACAGCAGACATTTTGTATGTTGGAAAAAATGAAAACTGCTAGTTCCCAGGAATGCTTGCAAGATGGACAAAAGACCAAGAGTTGGCGAAAAAAGTTTAATTAAGAAGCCATTTGATAATGGCAAAAAACATAAAGATCCCATGTGTTTCAAGCTCTTTCCACTCATCAAACATACATATGAGTTATAAGCTTAATTATTAATTTGATGGCTGACTGAAATTTTGAGAAAAATGAATTTTCTCTTATTTCAATGAAAGGTTTATGAAAAATGTTTTAAATAATTGTAATATCACAGGATCAGCATATTGCACTTTAACTTAAAGTGAAAAGAAAAAAATTAAAATTTCACTAAGCAGATTTTATGCAAAATCTGAGACAAGTATATAATTATGAAGCACCAAACCTAGGCCGGGGTACAGCGCTATATAAGACCACTTATTATTATTATTATAAGTCTGTACAAAAACAAAATCTGCCAATAGATCAAAAGTGGATAATTTGGCAAAAGTTTGTTTCAAGTAGACTATTTTTTTTTTCCATACACTTTTTTTTATAACTAATATTTCGATGTCAATAATACCATTTATGAAATATTTTGTTTGAAATCACTTAAGTATATACTGGAAGTGTCACACCAAGGACAAATACATTTAAATTCACTTTACTTAACACAAAAATGTTACTATTTTCACTACAGAAATGGTTCAGCTCTAAAACTTGTAAAAGGACAGCCAGTGTCATTTATAGACATTTCATGGTGTAGCTACTGGCTGTGTTTGAACAGGTTTTAGAGTTAAAAAAAAAAAAAGGTCTTTGATCATTTCCATTTAAAAATGTCAAAATATTGACAAGATAATGGGTTTAAAATGGCATCCATTTGCATTTAATATTTTCACTACTGAAATGTTTCAGCTCTAAAACTTGTAAAAGGACAGCCAGTGTCATTTATAGACATTTCATGGTGTAGCTACTGGCTGTGTTTGAAAAGGTTTTAGAGTTAAAAAAAAAAAAAGGTCTTTGATCATTTCCATTTTAAAATGTCAAAGTATTGACAAGATAATGGGTTTAAAATGGCATCCATTTGCATGGGTTGAATTGTGCATAGTTGATAAGTTATGATACATGAACTACAAGCAGACCAAGAATACATTTAAACTCAAACAGCATTTCTATCAAGACTATCAATTCCTTTTTAATCTAGGTATTGAGTTTGAGTATTTATTTTAAAATGTGTCATTTCTGTACAAGTGAGTAATGAAGTGATTACATGGAAATGTTTGGATCTGTTCAGATCCCTCAATGACTTTTCCCAAACAATTGTCTTGTTTTTTTAAAATAAATTCTAAGACTGCAAATATTGTCCAGTAAATGTACCCTCTAGTTGTGATGTCACCTGAATTTAAACATTTTAATAAAAGTTCAAATGACTAGGCTTTCAATCCTATGACGTTCTCAAACAACTAGGTTTTCAATCCTAGGCCATTCTCAAACATCTAGGTTTTCAATCCTATGCCATTCTCAAACAACTAGACTTTCAATCCAATGACATTCTCACACAACTAGGCTTTCAATCCTATGACATTCTCACACAACTAGGCTTTTAATTCTATGACATTCTCATGGGTAACTTTGTAAATCAAACATTCCCATTGAGTTCAAGGAAAAATAATTTGTTGATCAAAAGTCAAGGAAAGATAATATGTTGATCAACAGTTGTTTATTTTATTCAGTGAGAGTTTAGCTTGGATAAACACACCCCTGAAATGACTACGAACACAGCTCCCATTCAAGTTGAACAACAAAGCTTCTACAACACCGGGCGATACCTTCCATAACAAGTACATGGCTGACAAAACCTGACGCTGAAGTGGATATTAGCTCCCAGGTTGGCGAAGAATGGACTAAACGGATGTTTCCTGGCAACCTTACGTCATGACCCTCTGGATGACATTGAATGGGGCAACAGGGCAAGTGGACTCGAGGTTAGTGCCCATCAGGTGGCAGTGACTGGCGTCCTCTGGTTGACAGGTTGCCTCTAGCACTGTGCCCAGTACAAACCTGTTCCAACGGATAGAATAGTCTTGAGTAGGTACAACATTTAGAATAGTAAGGAGGAATAGGTACAACAGAAGATAGTCTTGAGTAGGCACATGAGATAAACAAGGGGTAAGATAAGGTACAACACAAAATTTTTAGTAGGAGTAGGTGCAACTGAGAAGAGTCAGACTTATTACAACAGATAAAATAGTCATTAGGACTAGGTACCACTGATAAAATAGTCATTAGGACTAGGTACCACGGATAAAATTGTCAATTAAAGAAGTTCATTATGTGCATAATATTTAGACAATCATTTTATATATTTGAACAATGGACAAAATAATTGTTATGTTTTCATTGTTTTTATTTCAAACAAGTAAGATGAACATATATATACATAAATACAAGTTCTCAATCAGGGGTTGGCTTTCTGCTTGCGTCCGGAACACAGTTCATAAACACACACACTCTCTGTCCAGTCTCTCTGCGCATGCACACTGTTTCCTTGGCTGGCTATCGGTACAAGCCAGTCCGCTAGTCCACCATAACACCTCCCCGAACAACTACAAGTCCAGTAACAATGGCGCTCGACGTTGTCTTTGATCTTCTGGGTATGACATAGTCTGAAGGTCTTGGATGCCAAGGGTTAATCTTCTTCTTAGGTGGACTTGGAGTTGCTGGATGTGTAGACGATTGATGACTCAGGGCTGTTGGATAAAGACTTCCTGTCATTATATCCAAACTTGGTTCTGAATCTTCTTCTGCTCCGTACCTGAGGCGAAGTTGGTCTAAATGTCTCTTCCATGTGGGACCATTCGGATAAATCTTCACCTTGAAAAGACGTGGACCCATAACTTGGATGATTGTACTGGGAGCCCATCGTGGTTTAGAGTCTGTTGCTGTTCCATATACTCTGACGTAACATGGATCTCCCCGGTTAAATGATCGACTAGGACTTCTGTTTGTCCCATTGCGGACGGCTATTTCTTTAAGATGCTGTCCCTGTGCTCGATGAGCAGGTGAGGGAACTAGAGTATCAATAAGTGTTGTTATTTGCCGATTGTTCAGCAGTTGGCTAGGTGATAATCCACTTGCCAATGGTGTCCTACGATACTGATGCAGAAAGTCTTGTAGAGATTCCTTTAAAGGTAATGAGGATTTCTCTAGTGAACTCTTGAAACTTTGAATCAGTCGTTTGGCCGCTCCATTCGCAGCAGGATAGTAGGGAGCGCCTGCAAGATGTACAATACCCCTCTCCTTACACCAGTGCTGAAATTCTTCCGAGATGAAGCTAGTAGCATTGTCACTGACTATGGTGTGTGGGTAGCCGAAATGAGCAAAATCTTCCTCCAGAAGATCAATGGTGGCTTTGGTCTATGTAGATGTTGTCCTGTGGATACACGGGTACTTTGAATAAGCATCTATCATTACCAGCCAATGTGATCCCTTAAAGTTAATGGCATGGTCGATATGCACTCGACTCCATGTTTTTTCTGGCAACATCCAAGGGTGGATACTTGCTTTGTTTGGGTCTCTGGCGTATTCTGCACATGCTTGGCATGTTCGACCTATCTCCATGATTTGAGTATCAAGTCCGGGCCAATATACAGATGATCTTGCTAACTTTTTCATCCGCTCTATTCCAAAATGTCCTGTTTGCAGGATTTGGAGAACTTGAGCTTGTAGTATTTTTGGTACCACAATTCTTGAACCATAAAATAGACAATTCGACTCCACGGAGAGTGAGTCTTGAATAGTTTTAAAAGCTGCTATATTAGCTTCCTCCTTGTTCAGGTGTCCTTTGTTTGTAGAGGACGGCCAGCCCTCTTGGCAAATATCTCATTACTGTAAACACAGTAGAATCTTTAAGTGACTCTTAAGCAAGGACTCCTGGGTCTGTTGGTCCAATCTGTAAACTGATTTGTTTGATCATGCATACAGAATCCATGTCTGCTTCACTTTCTTCAACATCAAAATTGTCATCAGGCCCTGAGGGTAGACGACTAAGAGCATCCGCATTGCAATGTTCAGTTGACTTACAGATTTGTTCACCTGCTTTACTCAATGAGTTTTGATTAGCAATGTGATTTGTCCTTGTTTGAAACAGTGTGTCTATTGAAATCCTGAGGTTCTTTATTGCGGCTCTTCCCAACAAATTTAAGTTGTGGTTTTTCACTATTACAAATTTGTAGTTATTTCCCCTGCCTCAGCATTTATCTGCACACTTCCCAAAACATTAAGTAGCTCACCAGACGCTAACTCGTACTTGACCGCTACTGGGCACAATGTGGGTTGTCCCAGCTTTCGCCAAACAGATTCAGACATAAAATTTTCTCCAGCTCCAGTGTCAATTTCAAATGCAAACCTCTTTCCTTCTAAAATGAGTTCTTGAACCTATGGCTTGCGAGCCAGATGTGGCTCTCTTGATGGCTGCATCTGGTTCGCAGACAAATGTTCGAGCATAAAAAAATAATGGGCGGGATAGTTTTTATTTGGCTTTGCTTTCTTATTCTTTTGAGATGAATCGGTTTCTGTTTTGGAGCATTCTCTTTCTTATGTAGACAAACTCTTTCTAGATGTCCTCTCTTGTGGCAAAAGCGGCAGGTCACGTCTTTGTGCCTGCAGACATTTCCTTTATGGCCTCTTACTCTACACCTGCCACAAGTTCCACTCGGAAAATCCTGTCTTTGAGATGGAGAAAATTTCTCTGCTATCTGATGTTGCTTCTTTCTTTGTGACTGAATTTTATTGATAGGAGTTTCTTCAAGGACTGTTTCTTTGGCACATTTCGCTGCCTCCTCTGTTTCAACAGCTATTTCAACTGCCTTGTTGAATGACAGTTCAGTGTCCTTCATCCGAAAGAAAATTTTCAATACTGACTTGTTCTTTACAGATCACATGAATCTTGTTCGTAAAGCTTCATCTAGTGGATTTTTGATATTACTAAACTCAAAAGTCGCTGCATCCTGTCTGATCCTAGCTGCCAATTCTTTGATTGTTTCCCCCGGTTTTCTACTAGAATCAGAACAAAATTTGAACCTTTCCCTGATTACAAATTTGGTGGGATCAAATTGATCCATCATTATTCTATATATTTCTTCTATGTTCAAGTCATTTAAATTTTGTGGTGGTTCTTTTTGTTGTATGATGGTTGATAACATTTTTTGCAGCTCTGGCGTCTGGATTGTTAAAAAAAATGTGTGCCTGCCTTTCCTTTGGCACATTATTTGCCAACACGAAGGTAACGTATCTAGCGTAGTAGTCTGTGAACGTTTCCTCGTTACTATTGAAATGTGTAAACTTCATATTAGTAGCCGTATTACCTGTGCTAGTTTCAAAAGTAGCTTGTTCTGCTGTATGAGCTTCTGGATAATGTCAGCTTGGGTCAGATTTGACTCCATTGTGTATTTACCTCCTACGTCCCTTGTAGTCACTCGTGCGTATCAAACTATCACTTGGTTGTACTGAGTTGTACTGACTTTTGTATTGAGTTAATACTGACCAATACTGTTATGATTACACTGGGCACCATTTTGTTATGTTTTCATTGTTTTTATTTCAAACAAGTAAGATGAACATATATATACATAAATACAAGTTCTCAATCAGGGGTTGACTTTCTGCTTGCGTCCGGAACACAGTTCATAAACACACACACTCTCTGTCCAGTCTCTCTGCGCATGCGCGCTGTTTCCTTGGCTGGTTATCGGTACAAGCCAGTCCGCTAGTCCACCATAACCATAATAAAAGGTATTTAATTAACAGCAGTTCATGTTTCTAATTTCTAGTAAGAGATGTCCATTTTAAATATACATGACATTAACTGTAAAAACTCACCAGGCCTTATGGAAGCATGGATCCAAATTGACAGCATCTCTCAAGGTTTTCTCTGCCAGTCTATTATCTCCAAGCTTGTGTAAAACAATTCCCTGGGGAAAAAAAAAAGTTAAAGGCTTTATCTGAATAGGCCTTGACCAGACACATTTATAACAAGACGAAAGAAACCCAAGTGTGAGAATCCATTTGAAATAAGGCCTTTTCCCATCTTCCATTTATTTTAAGATAATTATCTAACACAGGGGTCGGGAACCTTTTTGTCTGTGAGAGCCATGGACACCACATATTTTGAAAAGTAATTCTGTGAGAGCCATACATTATGATTCAAACTAGAAATTCAACAAAATGTGTGCATTCTGTGTAATTTCAACACTAAAAATGCAATAATTATGTCTCTGAATTCCTTTTAATAACATTGTTATGCTGTTGCTAATCAATGAGTATTTCTTACCATTAATGCGACTTTTTTTTATGCGAGCCAGATGCAGCCATCAATAGAGCCACATCTGGCTCGCAAGCCATAGGTTCCCGACAGGTACGTGACAAATATATATTTTTTAACTGTACTTACTAAATGATAAAGTGATTTGGTATGAGTGGGATTAACAGAAACTGCATTCTCATAACAGGTTTTCGCTTCACTAAGGCAACCCTTGTGTTCATACACCAGACCTCTCTGTGGAACAAAAAATGACATTCTGAAAGGTCAAACAAAATATTGGCTCATTCCGAGGGCATTTCCTTTGCATCTCATAGAAACATTGGAAATAACATGTTTAAAAAAATTACTGGTTGTGTTTCTTACAGAAATTGCAAAAATGGCTCCTCCTGGATCAAATCAGATACATGATCAAGTTAAATCCTTCAATTAATGTTCTAAAATAAATTAATTAATTCATGTTCTAAAATAAATCAATTAATTCATGTTCTAAAATGAATTCATCAATGCATGTTCTAAAATGAATTCATCAATGCTTATTCTAAAATGAAATAAAGAGTTTAAGTAGCACTACTCACCATGAAAAACACATAGACAGAATGAGGGAACAGTTGGAATGTTTCTTGGACACAGCTTTGAGCTTCTTGGACTTGGTTCAAACTCAGATACAGTTCAGCTGAAATACATCACAAGTAAATTCTTTATGCATAAGACCACCTACACACTGAGACAAACTTCTTGAGCTGATGAACAATAAGATTTTTTAAAAACTTTTTGTCTGGTTCCAAAATATTGTTTAGACCTGCTAGAATTTATTATGTAAAATATAAATAATTACTGTAATGTGACCTTTTCCTGACCTAAGTTGAGCCAAATCTGCGCTTGAATAACCCAAGACCTTTGTGGCCCTACACGAGGCTGAAAGCTGCTGTTCATGGAGGAAGCCAAATCAGAAAGGGCCTTTTCCATTCTGGATGCTGCATATGATTCTGCTCGAATGGATCCTACAAACATACATACACATCATAAATATGTAATAAGATTTGAATGAGGAGAGCTGAATAAAAATCAGGTTTTCTACTACTCTGCATTGTGAAAAATAAAGGAAATGAATTTTGTAACTGCATAGTGTAAGTACACTTAAAATAGTTTTATTGTATAACGACATGGTGTAAGTACACTTAAAATAGTTTTATTGTATAACGACATGGTGTAAGTACACTTAAAATAGTTTTAACTAACATCTAGCCTTTTACTTTAACTAACATCTAGTATGTAACTAACATTTCTAAAAATAATTATTCAAATACCCTGTAAGGTTATAAATGATAATGCCATTTCATCCATATGTGACAAACGTTCATTGAACCTAATTTAACTGGTCAATTGGACCATTTTTAATTCTATCACTGAATGCTAAGCTCTGGATTAATTGATTAGAAATTACAGGTGAAATTAAATCATCTACCTGAGCCTCTTTCACTGAATTCATTTAATGTGATTTGAGCAAGGCTTCTCTTATCCCAGGTGCTTTTATCTCTTGCCTTAGATTTGCTGTCTGAACCACTGAGAAACAAACAAATGAAATGGGCCATTTATAGTTTTCTTTCTGATATTAAATTACTTGTGCTTCACAGGATTAGGATGTAGAATATGCACTGCATTAAAATGATCCAGATGGACAAATGCCAAAATTTTAGACCAAATTTAAAGCAGAGTGTGTACGTTTTTAAGAATGAGTTTGCATGGTCTTTTAACAATGAGTTTGCATGGTCGTAAAAAGGATATTATAAATGGATTTAGAAGTCAGGGGTGCAGCAGCTTCTTTTAGGACAGATTGAGTAAAGGTGAATCATTTTTCAGATGATGAACAAAAGCATATTTTTAACAAAAGGCACATTTTAAAAAAAAATTATTTTTCCTCTCATTTTGGTGATTTATTAATCATGAAATATAATGAATTACAAGATGCAAGCCTACTCTCAAATAAAGTAAATATACAAACTAGCCGGGGCAACACAACTACATTGCTATGTAAAATACAGGTAGGGTTGCATAATGCATAATAATAATTCCAGATGGGCTCCATATATCCACCAAGGCTTAGTTGTATTGACACTTTATGTGAATGAGCAAATGAGAGCACATCACGGTGCACAAATGGGGCGGACAACATCCACTCAGGAATTACATTATACAATTCTCTCATCTTAAGTTCTTTAATATCCTTCTATAATTTTAATGTGTGTATATATATATATATATATATATATATATATATATAGCACCCTTCCGCCTTCACGAGATGATGGAGTATCTATGTACACTTCAACAAATGGCTCACTAGGCTGATCCTAGAATGGCAGTCTCGGCTGCATCTCGCGCAGGTGGACAACATCCACTCAGGAATTACATTATACAATTCTCTCATCTTAAGTTCTTTAATATCCTTCTATAATTTTAATGTGTGTGTATATATATATATATATATATATATATATAGCACCCTTCCGCCTTCACGAGATGATGGAGTAGCTATGTACACTTCAACAAATGGCTCACTAGGCTGATCCTAGAATGGCAGTCTCGGCTGCATTTCGCGCAGGAGAATTTTGACTCCTGGTTTTGATTGGGCCTTTCGTATTTTTTTTTTTTTCAAGAGAGTTGTTTTGCGCATCTTGTGCCTTTCTTACTCCTTCATACACTGCTGTTCGCCAGCTGAAATGTTGCTCAGCAATAATCTCACTTTTGCTTATTTCTATGTTGGCTTTCCTCATGCAAAAAGTTAACTAATTCTCTTCAGTTTACCACAATCACTTATGTTAGTTTATTCAATACTTTGCTTTAGTTAAGTCTATTAATTACTTCCCATCATGCTGATCTCATCATCTCCTGTTCAAAAAGCCAAGGTTTCTTTTAGGATTGATATTTCAACATAATATTTTTTGTGAGGCATTGTCCTCTTTCCCCCCTCCCCTTTTCCCCAAATAAGGGTTTACCTATTTCATCTTTATTTCAGAATATTCCATAGTAAAATAGCAAGAATTAACTCAAAGCTGCTACTTACTCATCAGCTACATCCTGTTCATGCATATCTTTCCAAATTCTTAACATCTTTTGGTATGTACTTAAAGCTTCTTCAGGACCGAGGACAACCTTTTCTAACTTTGCTTTGGTCATGAGCAGACTGAAACAAAAACAAATTTACACATTATGTTTCTCAATTCATAAATGGAGGTAACTCTAGATTAATATCAGCCATTGCCTTAGAATCAATCTATAGCTCTAAAAGAAATCAACATTACTCAGTAGTTATATTCAAATATATTATTTTAAATATCAAGCAAAATGACATTGTAAATTTAAAGGGATCAGTAAATTGACAACATGCTTTTAAATGGATCAGTAAATTGACAACATGCTTTTAAAGGGATCAGTAAATTGACAACATGCTATTTTAAACTGTTATTCAATAGTCATCCAAAAAATGTTATTTGTAAATGTCTAACTAGACATCTACTATGGTTATTGGTGTATTGATTTTAATCACAAGATCAATTTTAATTGTTCAAAAATTATTTCAAAATACATCATCAAAATTAATTATTTTAAAATCTTTTATAGAAATTGTGTTCCATTGTCATTGTGTTTTTATGATATTTCCTCTTTGGGCACTATTGCATAAATACCAACCTTAAGTTATCAGGATATTCTTCTAATGCTGCCTGTATGAGTGTCATGGCCTCTTCATGTTGTTTACGGGCAGACAAGAGGAGAGTGAGTAGATGAAGTGAATGGATAAAATCACTTCGCAACTCAAGGGACTTCTTGGTATAGTCAATGGCAATATTTATCTGAAAACAAATGTATTCATTCTTATAAATTGAAAATATTAATAATAAAATGCCATTATATGATAATATTGTTCGTTATGTCCATTTATTCAAGGTTTTCAAGTCTTAATAAAGCTCTATGGGTCTTTACCTTTCTTAGATTGGCATACTGTAAAGCTAAGTGAAAAGCTGCGAGATAATCTTGTGGATCCAGTTCATGAGCCCTGAAATTTTCAAAAAAATTCAGAGCCAATAAGGCTATCAACTAATTTTTATTGAAGAATTCAGTTGGATAAAAATTTAAATCATCTTTTGAAAAGGCTTTTGAATAGATTTTTTATATAAATTTAAAACTGTTCTTAACAGTCTAAAATATAATGTTCCTATTTTTTAATAAAAAAACCTACAATATAAAAGCATCCAGAGCCTGCTGGTTGAGTTTCTGTCTTTCAGCATTCAGCCTTGAATCTTTAGCTACCAAACACAAGCCGATCCCTAATGCCATGTGGGCCCTTGCCGATTGGTGTTTTGGTACTTTGCATTTTATAGCAGTCTGGGACCATTCCACACCTTGCTGGTTGAGCTGAAGATGTTCATAGCACAACTGAGCCGCTTGTAAACAAACACACCAGTTTTGTGGGGCTAGCCGATGGCACTCTGTCAACACAGGAAGAGCTTGGGCATACTGCAAGCAACATAACAAATGAAATTTCCACCAACAACATTTTTATACAGTAATAGTGAAATAAATATTATGCGGACATCAATATATTTTGAACCTGAAATGGGGGGAAAAAACATGATTGAAAAGATTCTGTTTGTATTAAAATCCCTTTGTTTACCTTTGAAGAAGAAATAAGTGAGTTGGCAAACTGGTACCAGATGTGAAATTCTTGAAAAGAAAACCTCATGGCTTTTTCAAATGACTGAAATGAAAAGAGGAATTTGTTTAATATTTGTAACACCTATTGCAGACTCATAGTAAATCTTTTTGTTGCAAGTAAAAATGTAACGATGTTCAGTTAAAGCGTGTTCAGTTAAAGCATGTTCAGTTAATCCATGTTCTCACCTCGGTCAGACGTCCAAATTGAGCTCGTTTCACCAGTACAAGTGCTAGGAGGTCATAGATGGCAGTTATGTTTGTTAATGTCAACTCATGTGTCTCTTCATTTCTCTCTAAAACAGCTTCTCTTGTCGCCTGAACAAAATTTTAATTAAAATGTATAAAACTATTAAATTCCTAACTTAAAGGTGAGGCAGATGAATTATTCCTTTTTTTTAAAAAAATGATTTTATTCTATATAGTGTATACAGTGCTACAATGGTAATAATTACTAGTCTTTAATAAATATGAAAATTTATTTTTTAAATGGTTAAATGTCAGCTTACCACAGCTTCCGCTATCAACAATAATAAAAGCACTTCCTCATCAAGAGTTTTTGGTATAAATAATCTGAAATGGAAACAAAGTGAAATATTTGAACCTAATCATCAAATATATTTTTTACTTACAAATGATTATCAACATATTTTTAAAACTTTAATACTTTAGCTGAAAATCTCATACTTTTCGGATGAATAAACACAGGGTTTGGGTGCTTTTAAATTGAGACCACGTGCTAACAGATCAATGGGTTTGTAAGAAGAGTTGCTGCAGGATCGAAGAAGTAATTGCGCCAATTCCAAAGCAAGTGTCTGCAAAGAAATAATGGCAAAATATTATTTTTTTCTAAATTAAATATCTATTGTTTAAACTGATTCAAATAAAAAGGAGCGAACGTTGCCTAAAATAAACCTTTCAGAATAGAAAATGCTTTCACAAAATACTGAATTAATAATATAATTCTTATAAAAATAATTATCCATTCTTGTCAGGCAAATAAATTCATTACGTTGCCTCCCTGTGTTACCATAATGGTTGATCCTTTACCTATGCTAATATCTCGTAATTTTGGAGAAAATTACCAATTAAGATGTAGCATTAATTTCACCAATTAGAGATAATACAACACTTGCTATCAAAAAGAATAATTAACTAGTCTAGTATGTATGGCTGTAACATGGTATTCAATAGGGGCACAAAATTAATTTCCTAGACGCTAGCCCTAATTGGGATTCTTATAATGTGCGTTACTTGAATTAATGTTTTGTAGATTGTAAGCTAACGCACTGCCTCTGCCACTGTTTGGCGGTACATTTCTTGTTACTAAATAAAGTTGAAACAGCCAAACAGGTTACATCTCAGCAGTTTACTCACCTTCCTAATATCATGGGCGAATCTTGACTCGACAGCACGCAGCATCTCTCTGTATCTGTTTATGCACTTTACCTCATCTCTGATTCAAGAGATATGTTTTAAATTATGGTTACGGCAACAACTTTTTAAAATCCAACATTACATTAGACGGTAAAGCCTAAATATTATTAATAACAATTTGTCTCTGAGCTTTTAAATAAAAAAAGAAACTTTAACTACTTCTTATAAAGGTGATATATTTAATGAATAAATTAAGTCAACATATTTTTTAAAAACTGTTTAAAGATGTTAGAACAAACATAAAGTTGTTTTTAGGCTGTGAATACATTGTTGTTTAAAGCGACCTCCGCTGGGTCTAACATACCCTCTCTTCAAGTGCATGGCAGGAACCTGTTTAATGGCCATTTCAATTAGAGATGTAACAATAAAGTTATTGGAGTCTGAAGATGGTGACATGGACTGTGGAGTGTTTGGTCTTTTGTCTCTCTGCTGTAAACACAAGAAAGCCAAGTCTCCAGCTATCTCATAGCAAGTGATAATCTCATCATCTCTTTCAGAAAGCTTAAATTTTGTCTTCAAAGATGACTTGGTTTTTTCCAAGCATTTTCCTGGAAAAATTGTGAATTATTATAAAATGTTATCTAATGCTTAATACTCCAAGTTGGTGCTTTCCAAGATGTGCATCATGGCACATTAGTGTGTCACTTTCAGGGTGCATCTGTGTCCTATGAGAATGAGTCATGCCAACATTCACGCACTTTTTTAGACATTAAAGGAGGTGATCAGTGCAGCTCCTACAAGGATAAGCTGTATCTCCAGTTTATCCTTTTAATTATCAAATTTATTCAGTTATAGGACTGACATTATTCTACCAGTTTTGTTATTCAAAAATTGGTTTGCCCGTTCATGTGCAGTCTATTATCTTGTTTGGTTTATCATTTATCCACTGCATATATTTGTTTAGTATAATTGTGTCCTAATGTCTTTAAAAAAGGATTAGTTTAACCACTGGTATAATTATGAAGATGAAAAGTGTCGTGCAAGTATGTACAATGAAACCCTGCTATAACCCAAATTCCGATATAACGCAGTCAAGACTTGTCTCCCCTTATTTCCTTTATTCATTCTCAAAGGCATTTTCTTTTTTCAATTTTTTGAAAAGAGAGTTTTAAAAAACCTATATTCTCAAACAACACAATTAAACTAGTCCAACTTCTACCCCACACAGCTCACTAACCAATTAACCACAAGAGATTAGGACCCAAATTATCACATTAAAGCGAGTTTTCAGTGCTAGTCTAAAAAGTGTGTTATCAACAAGAAAAGTTTGGGAAGCATTGCTACTAAGCCAATACAAAATTGTGTTACCATGGAATGTTCCTACGTACAAACAATGAATTCAAATTGGAAGTAGCTGTACAATAATTTATTACACGAGGTTAAGCTGCTGATTTATGTGAGGTCTGAGAGACGAAGCAAAAAAAATGAGTATTACTTTTTCCATAGATATTATTTCAAAGTGGAACTTCTAAAGTGATACATACACATTACATAATTTTAACTCTAAATTACTAAAAATATTCTGCAGAAAACTATCCCACATAAAATAAAACATGTCACAGTGATTGTGTAAAATTACTACCTTTAATGGCAAATGATTCAGCCACCATGTACAACATTCTTGTATTTTTGAAAGAATTCCCTTCACTCTCCCGCAATGCTATGGCAGTCAAATCCACTGGTTCCAGTGTGGTTAAGCAAACTTGGTAGAACCCTTGACAAAACTGAAGTTTTGCTAGCAGTAATAATGCCTGTTCCTTGAACTTTCATAAAAGAAAGTAAATAATATTCATTGTTTTTATTATTTATAACACAACTTGTATCACATGTGAAATATATGTCAAGTGATATGCTTTGTTCCTTATTTTGTATCCAGTTTTGGTGAATTAATTTAAATTCTGTGATAGTTGTATTTATCAATAAAAATTTATGAAAATAATTACATGTGAAAAATATTTTAAATTCTGTGATAGTTGTATTTATCAATAACAAATGTATGAAAATAATTAAATTTGATAAACATTTCCCGGGTATTTAAAAAAATAGAGATAATTGTAAACTAATTTCACAATAGTAGGTTACTTAATAAATGCATGCCTGTGAACTGCTACTGGCAATCTGTCGTAGCATTTCATTAGCTTCACATAATGCTTGTCTTGCAGTGAGAACATTTTCTTCATTTGTTGGATCATGTATTTCAATGTATTCTTCAAGAGTTGCTTCAGATTGAAGGAGATTAACAACTGAAGCTGGAGAAAAGAACATAATGCATAAAATTACTAAACCTTCCCACTAAAACACATTTTTTCTTTAATTAATACTAGTATGGAATCAAATTATAGATTGGAAGATGAACTTTCCTCATTAGGGTAAGGCTTTAAAACTTCCTTAATTTAAAGACTTCAAGTTTAGAGACAGAGTTTTAATAGTTCAAGTTTTTTTCTAATAAAATTTACTTAAATAACAGTGTTTGTTTTCATTGACTTCTTTCTTCTTATAATGTTTTTACGACACTGATTGGAGAACAGCCTGTTTTAATAATAATAAAAATCAAAAGCTATATCATTAGTAATAGTAGCTTTTGGCAACATTGTGAAGAGGGGGTTCATTTTAAACATCTGGTACCATCAATAGTTTTAGATTGATATTGATGCAGATATGAATGTTTAATTCTGTAACTACCACAAACAATTGCACCAAATTAACTTAACCAGTAACTTCCCGTATCCCCCGCCATCGCCCGATAGCGTTTTATACCGTATCGCCCGCTGTAGCCCGCCATCGCCGGCTCTATACACATAGCAAATAAACAATGTATTGGACCATAAAAGTTTGGTTTAAAATGGTAAACAAGCTATAGTTGGAAAGTAGAAAAGCTCTACTTCCTCTTCCTTTTTACCGGAACGAAATACATTGAGAAACACGCGAGCTACACAGCTATGATACCTTTCAGGGATCGTCTCTCGTTCAAACAGTATATAAAAGGAAAGCCCCACCCATGGGGTGTCAAAGTGTGGTGCTGCTGCGACTCGGCAACATCATTCCTTTTAGACTTTGAGTTTTACACTGGAAAGTCGGACACTGTGATGCCTAATGGACTGGGTTACAGTGTCATTCAAAAATTAGGACAGCCATATCTTCATAAAAACCACCATTTTTATTTTGATAATTATTTTTCGTCCGTGAAATTAGCACAGGACCTGCTATCCAGCAGCACATATTCATGTGCAACGACACGACAGAACAGGAGACACTGGCCCAAAGACCTCAAAGGAAAATTAAATAAAAATCAGTGCCAAATGAGGCAGATAGGGAGTTTGGTTGCATGTTGGTGGAGGGACAAACGTGCCATCTCCATGCTCTCAACCAACGCCTCACCTACAATGGACACTGCATCACGCCGGACAAAAGAAGGCCCTGTTGATAAACAGATCCCCCAGTCTGTTTTGATCTACAATGCCAATATGGGTGGTGTGGACAGACATGATCAGCTGAGATCATACTACCCTATTGGCAGAAAAAGTCACAAGTGGTGGAGATGCTGCTTATGGTTTCTAATTGAGGTGGCGGCGCTGAATGCATACATCTTGTACAAAAACATGCCACGCCCCCCGACATCAAAGCCAGTTTCCCATTTCCATTTTCATATGGACATTGCCCGTAGCCTAATGAAAGGCTCTTCAAGGAAAAGAAGGCAGGTGGAGGTCCCTGCTGCCGGGGGTTTGGCTGTTCCTGGAACTTCTGTGGAGCATCGCAGGATTCGGCTCCCAGGGCGCAAAAAACAATGTTTTCAGTGTCGCCAGAAAAATATCCGCACTGAGTCTAATAAAAGACCTGAAACTGTGTTTGGGTGTGTGTTGTGTAACCAAAATTTATTTTAAAACTTATACTTGAAGTTCTACCTTTCAATATCACTACTCACTACACATTCAAACAATTATTTTTATATTATAACATTAGGGTGCATGTACTTTAAGAGCTATCTCTCTTTGTCTAGTATCTGAGTCAAAAAATGTTGAGATTCGACGAGATGCAGTCCATAGCAAAACATGACAAACCAACTCAAAATCACAAATTAAAAATTCATAGCTCAAAAAAGTACTAAAATTAGGTAAATGATTCCGATTTCAGTTTATTTATTTGATGTTTCTTCTATACAAATGTAAATTTTGCATAATTTTTTGGGAGGAGAGAGTTTTATTACCAAGGTACCTAATGACCTAATGTATTCGGTACAGGTGCGAATTTGAAACTTGTCAACCATACTTTGAAGTTTAAGTTTTGGAAGGGCTGTAGTAGGCTAAAATTAGTCTACTCTGACTTAACTACTGACTAAGAAACTGACTAACTAACTGAACATTGGGGCCATTCATAAACTACCGTAAGCTTCTTTTTTCCTATTTTTAAAACTAAAAAAAAAAGGGTGGGGGGTGGGGGAGGAGATTATACAATATATTGTGATATTACTAGTATAGTTTGTTACAATTTTGTGGTGGTTTAGAGGGGAGCGGGGGCGTGTCAAAAATCGTAAAAAAAATGGTGTGACGTGTTTTTAATTTATTAACTAGGAACAGGAGGCACGGTTGGGAGACTAAAATAGTAAAATTCCTGTTCGTTGAGTGGTAGTAAACTTTAGTAGTTTTCTCATTCTGCTAGCCCAAGTAATATACTTTGAATAACTTATATGATTGTGTAATTTTATATACCAAGATCTGTAGATTTTAATGCTCCTTGTTTTGCTAACTCAAGCGCTTTCTTCCAATTGCATTCGACTCGACATTTGTCGATTTCAGATTCTAGACGATATGTTTTCGCTTTGGAAGCCATGACACCGAAAAGTAATGTCCAGGTTTTTGAGTTAGTTGTTTTTCTTCTTTTTTTTTTAGGTCAATAATAAAATGGCATCAAACAACAAATGTGTTTACCATATTAATAGAACCGAAACTACATGATCTAATCTTAATCTTATCTTAACTTTAATGGAAATCTAATAATATTAAAAATTATTCTCACAAACTCTTATTAGGTTAGTAAATACATAACTTAGTCTCTAAGTATCCACATCGTAACAAAAAATGTTAATTTAAACCCGGCAAGTGTGAAAATTAAAACGAGCCAATAATTTATGGTCCTGTGCTTACAAAATTAAAGAGTTGCGATCTAATTCTATTTGTTGGAGTGTAGAGTACCCGGTATAGGGATGGGTTTAAAGCGCCAACTCAATACGATAACAATAACAGTAACAGACAGCTACCAGTACCGATATACCGTTCTAATAGTATACTGACCAATATTTCAAATCTTCCCAGAATATTATGAATTATTACTACCATACAAATTTGTTGAACATTTTTTTTTAAATCCATGGTCCAGGGTGGCGTTTGTTTCATTTATTATAATAATACCGGTACCGTACACTAATGACTATAGCTTAGTATGAAAGTATCGGTACTATAATATTAATATAAGTTATATTAAGTACTAATACTAATATTATAGTATTACTATACCCTGTAACTTAGACATGAAAGTACCCGGTATCGGTAGTACCATACTGTATTCCACCATACAATTATACACAACTGCATTGTCATAAATAATACTTGGTAACAGATAGGAAAATATGGCAGAGAAGACATAACTAATATGGGAATTGTTACTTATGTACCGGTAATAATATAAATAACGAGTATTGAGGCTTGGGAAAAACTGACCAATCAAGAAGAGATCAAGGAGAAAATGGTAAGTTGATTCGCGATATTATTTAAATTTAAGTAAGATTTGGTCATAGTGTGATACACTTATCAAGTACCGGTAAAGAAGTGTACCGAGAAGATAGTAATGAAATGAAATACTAGTACATAATGGCACATTCCAAGTCCAAGTGTTTTCGGATTGAGCATGTTTGGCATGAGTATTTGCTCATATTTCAATTATTAAATATTATTATTGATGTGTAAATAGAGTATTATTCACTATCATTTGAATCACTAAGTCTCTGTTTTAGTTTTGATTTACAATACATTGTGGTATTACTATTACTCTGATTTTATTCCCTCCACTTCTAGTTTGTTGAAGGGTTTTATTAGCCAAAATATCCTTTTGTAGTTTCTCAGGCTTCAAAAACTGATTTATATCTGTACCGGTACCACCTTCTCAGTGTCATATTTTATTTTTTTAGTTTTCTTTAAACTATAACTACTATAACTTATAACAAGCAAGAATTTAAATTATAACCAGTGAGTATAAGTGTTTTCATTTTGACAATTTCTCATTCTTTAAAAAGTGAAATTTATACAGGAAGAACCATTGTTACTGCTAACTAAGTGATAACGTAAAGGCAAAAAAGGGAGGAAAGAAACATAGCATTTAACTGCAATTTCATTTGTGGATGAAGATGGGGAATGCTTTTTTTTTTTATCTTCCTACTCATACAACTGGTTTGGTATACCCTACATACAAATCCATGATAAAAGCTCATGACTGGCCAATTAATTTTTCAGATGGTTTAAAAACAGCACATTAACTAACACTTTTTTTATATGGTGCTCCCAACCCGCACTTTGCTTTCATTCCTTAGTGAGCTTCTTTAAAAACTTTTCTGCAAAAGCAATCATCATCCCTCTGACTCTGTGCAACAAGATCATATTAAGCAAGAAAACAAGGTTATTTGGAAATAAGATTATAAAAAAGACGAACAAATTGAAGTCATTTTTTATATTTTATTTTAATTTTAAAAACTGAATCACATTTTAAGACTCAGCTTCCTCCTCTGGTTTGTTGAAGACATAGGTCAGGCAGCATTTACCACAGTACTGTCTATCAAAATGAGAGGCCATGAAAACACCAGCACCACAATACTTGTTTGGGCACTCACGACGGAGACGGGTTATTTTGCCATTCTCGTCAACCTGAAAAGACAGTTATAAGGTAATGAGAATAAAAATAGAAACAAATAATCAAAGGAGAAAAGTCATTACAAAGATTGCTCAGAGCATTTAGTAAATTCATTTTAAATTCAACGGTGTCCTAAGTGGTCATCATAGCAATCAACCATTTATTAACCACTTTTCCATTTAAAACAAACTTTAAATTACCTATACTAAATTAAATAATGAATGGAGCCACTAGCTACAAACCCAATATCTCATTCCACTATAGCTTTTACAGCTGTCTTGTGCAAGCATTTAGATAAATGCAAAAATAAATTTTAAAAGTACTAAAATAAAGTAAGTAAAGGAGCACCCAGTATGAAGACAAATAAAACTGAAAACGTTATCTCTCTGCCAAAAACAAATATATGCCCTTTCTAGGTAATCTTAACCTGTTCATTGGAAACTATATATAAAATTTTGGCATGAATCTGAAATTAAAAATGATCTGAGACATTTAAAATGTACTACAAAATGGTCCATAACTATATACAGAGTATTTTCAATTCAAGCATATTTTAAAAGTTTATTTTCTATCTGTTACCTACAGAAAGCTTAGACTGACAATCTTCTCAAGGTCTGTAGGTAAACTTAATACATTTCTTTCCAAACGACAAAGTAAATATTTCCCTTAAACCCTGATATTAATTACAATTGGTTCATTACACCAAGTGACACGAGCAAAATGCATTAATTTACCAACATGTCATAAATATTTTAAAGTAAATTGATGACTGTTCAGAATAGTATTAATCACACAAATAATTCGAGGGTGTCCTAAGCTGTCATCATGACAATCATCAATTTTCTATACCAAAATTTAAAAAATTCCATTTGCCAGCCTAACTACAAACCTTGTAGTATTTGAGGACGGCAAGCTTGACCTTCTTCTTCTTATGCTTATTTTTCTTAGGGGTTGTGTAATTCTTCTTCTTGCGCTTCTTGCCACCACCTCTAAGTCTCAGTACTAAGTGAAGAGTAGACTCCTTTTGGATATTGTAGTCTGAGAGAGTGCGCCCATCCTCAAGCTGTTTCCCAGCAAAAATCAACCTCTGTTGGTCAGGAGGAATGCCTGAAAGTCAAGGTATAAATGCTAATATTAAGATTTATTTATTTAACTGGTTAACTACCATGAGCCGGTGGGAGCGGCTTGGCGTTTCTTTTGTTATGGCCACGAGCCGCTGGTAGCGCCAATGTTTGTATCATATTAAATCGAGTCAAATGTTTATATTATTCTGTTAACGTTTTGCATCGAGATTTTAATCTCGACAGGATGTTTATATTAGAGCCGCATGGTATCAGCAGAATGTTTTAAAAAACAAGACGTTAATTTTGATTTAATTTCCAAGCTAGTTACAAAATTGTACTTCTAGTTTCACCGTGGCAACAAGTGACAGGGTTAGTAAAGGGATAAAAGTGATTGAAAGTGTAAATATTATTCAATTTCTGTGTTCTTTGCCTCATTTTTCTAAACATTGGATATACTATTTGGAAACCGCGAAATATAAGGCTTTAAATGATTTGGAATTAAATTTATACGCAAGTTGGCACATTTATATATATTTTGTCTTTTTTTTTTAAAAATACTAATTTAACAATAATTTCCCAATAAAACTTACTTGACAAAGTTTTAAGTTTATCTTATAGACAATGCAATTACCTACAAAATGATTTATTAATCATTAGAATATGTTTAAAATTAAGAAAACTGCAGCTGAATCTGCACATTCACCTAGAATGAGAAAATGTGACCTTGATTTTTTCGGCCACAGCAGGTTTTTCAATCTGGTAGCTAATCAGTTAAAGTGACACTGCATGATGGGGAGTACCAGTAAAATGAAATGTCTTATTCCTTAAAGGAGCTTTGGCAAAGTAGTAACAAAGTCCATAAAAAGGAATAAAATTACTATTTCTTCACATACGAAAACCCTCTGGCAAGGAACCAGGAGCTCAGACTTCGGAAGAGAATAATAAAATCTGATATCAAACTAAGTCACAAACCTTCTTTGTCCTGGATTTTAGCTTTGACATTTTCAATAGTATCACTGGGCTCAACCTAAAAAAGAATTAAAAAAATAAAATATTCTAATCGTGCATACACATTTTTTCCAGAGCATTCATAAAGTCATTAAGAAAATAATGCTAACCAAGAAAATGCTCAGAATAGGTGAAATTTCATATGCTTTCAAGGGTGTCCTAAGTGGTCATCACAGCATTCTAGGTATTTATGCATTTTAAAATTATGATTTAACAGGCCAAACTACTTGTCTGTAACTTTAAAAACTTACCTCAAGGGTAATGGTCTTGCCCGTCAGGGTCTTCACAAAAATTTGCATGATGCCACCTGTGAAATAGATTTTAAATGTATTTTGCTAACTCCATAAATGCATCTTAAATCTGCTGAATAGTTCAAGACCAAACATTTACTGAGTAAATGAGCTGATCCCTCGGAATTATCGGAGCTTTTGGTAAATATAAGGCAACTTTCATCATTAAAATTAAGTCGAAGGAAAAGATTTGTCACTACCAAATTTTTTTTTGCATCTGGGGAATGTATTGATCTACATGTATGCCAATTTTCACAGCGATTAAGTGTCTTACGAGAGACGCCAAGTTTCTACTCGTTCGCAGGTCATGCAGTTCACTCTAATTTCACCATGGGGTGAGCCACACTCCCTTTGTAATGGCGGAAGTTGCCGATACTTAGGAAATATTAATTTATTACCACTATCTACATCAAAATATTTGATAACTTGTGTTTTAGAATGCATTTTGAAGACATTTAAACTGGAATGATTTAATTTGAGCTTTAACAACCCGATAGAATCCATATTATAAATGATCAGAATTTACCCTGTGCAACATGTTGTCATTGGCAACCATTCACAGCCACTTGCATAATGGCTGTATCGTAGTACTACCTCAGAGTTTCATTCATAAGAGTTTGCCGTGTGCAAAAACTACTATACCATTGGTCAGGGAAAGCTTTAATTAATTATTCATGTGCCAAAGTTGAAAGTTTAAACTAAGTCGACCCTAAACAGTATTTTAGTGATAAGGCGATGGATGCGTTGCCTTACATTAAGTATATAGTCGTTGCACATGACGCGATCAGCGGAATGCGGTCACAAGATGTGGAGGTTTCGTCCATAGTAAAAAATACCAGACGAACTCACTTTAAAAATTCATAGCTCAAAAAGTACTTAAGCTAAAAAGTTGATTCTGGTCTCATTTTTTTATTTGAAATTTGCTGTGTTATTAAAAAAATTTCAATTTTTTAAAATTTTGTATTCAAGTGCCTATTATCAGGAGGGAGGGGCGGGCTTTTGGCAAGGGATAGTTTCATAACTCTTATTTCAGAAAAAATGAAAAATTACTATTTTAAGATATAGGCCCAGGTTATTTTATTTTCTGTTAGACATAAAGAATATTGGAGCCGAATGTAAGTACCGGTAAATGTAAGTTGTGATACTTCTTTCTAAGAAGTGCAGCTGAACTAGTGTAAAATTTAAATAAAAATTATTTTAATTCTAAGTTCAAGAAAAGGTTTGCCTACATTCAGTGTACACCTGACTTAGTAAATCGTATGCAACAAAATGGCAGAAGAGTTTGGTAGAAAATGAAGGTTCGGGCCAAATATGTAAAAATAAGCTGGTAAGAACCATGCCTTCGCGATTAGTCCAGTACCAAACAAATGGCGGCGGCCATGCCTTTTTATTCCCAAAAACAGCTATCGTTTCAGACTTGGATAAACTAAAATATACCATATTTTTACAAAATTTAGGATCAAATAATTACATATCAAACACTGAGCCAATTATTTTTACGTAAAATAATTACTCTAAAGACAATAACAACATTAAAAAACTTTATTTAATTTCGGAGTGAAACTCACCACTCTTACAAGCAATGGCAATAATACCGGAAAGAAAGGGTTGCGCATGTCTTTTCGAATTGTACTCTGTAACACAACGCTTATTCAAGAAATTTGTTAAAATCATTTTGATAAAGTATTTGAAAACAATAATACATCCATATTTTTAAAAATTAATAATATATTATATAATTTATTGCTTATTTTGACTTTTTTTATTATACAATAAATACAAAAATGTGTTTGTGTTAGAGGGTTATTTAAAATTAACAACTTGATTATCTCATTTCGCATTTATATTCTAATACGTCGTCTAAAAATTATAATGTACTTAACACCTTAAAAGTAAAACTACGGTTTAATAATATATTTTGATTATTTGGCTTCTGGAAATAACTATTACATAATATTAATAATTTTCAAACATTCTTTCCTGTAACATTATGATGACTTTAAATAAACAGATGTACAGCAACAAGAGGGGGGGGAGGGGGGGGGAACAGGAAAAATGTGTAGGCATATTTAAATGTTTAAATGTATTATAATTTTGAATTAAAATTAAATATTATGAGTCATTACATACAGGATGTGTTGGGCTTTTTAAATGTTGCCAAGGAAAGCTGTACACCTAATGGCCCTAACCAGGGCTTTATTAAGACCTTGAGATGCCTTAATAATTTATATGATTGTATGCCCCAATCTATAATATATATAAAAATGAATGTTTGTATGTCTGTATGTCTCGTATGCGCTCCTACACCATTCATGCGATTGCGACAAAACGTTGGTCAGTTGTTGTCCACATAACCGGCCATTTAACTGAGTCATTAAAAACCTTATCAATTGTTCGTTCCTAGCCGTTGGCCCTTAATTCGTTTTTTTTTCTAATATGAGCTTTGTAAAAATATTTTCCACAATACTCCTACGCCATTTATCCGATTCATATAAAACTTTGGCGAAATGTTGCAAGCATGTCCATAAACATTTCGAAATTATTACAATTGTTTTAAATTATTCAGTTTTGAGCCAGGGGCCTCATATTCGTTTTTCCTTAAATGAGCTATATAAATATATTTTCAAACCGTATGCGCTCCTACACCAATCATGCGATTGCTACAAAACTTAGTGAGTTGTTGACCATGCGCCAGTGCATTTTACTGTGTTATTTAAACACTTTTAAAAACATTCTGTTTTCGGCCGTTGGCCCTTAATTCGTATTTTTTCTTATATGAGCTTTGTAAAAAATAATTTTCATATACGCTCCTACGCCATTTATCCGATTGCAATAAAACTTAAAACTTTGGTGAGATGTTGGAAGCACGGCCGCAAAGGTTTTTAAATTATTATAAACTTTTCAAAATTTTAGCCAGCGGCCTTATTTACGTTTTTTTCTTATACGAGCCATATAAATATAATTTCAAACCGTATGCGCTCCTGCACCATTCCCGCGATTGCGACAAAACTTTGACGAGTTGTTATCTATAAACATAACCATTCATTTCAACACTTTTAAAATATTCCGTTTTGGGCCGTTGACCCAAATTCTTATTTTTTCTTATATGCGCATGTACAAAATAATTTTTATGCGCTCCTATACCATTTTTCAGAATGCGATAAAAATTTAGTGAGATGTTGTTCTATCGCCCACAAAGGTTCTTAGATTACTACAACCGTCTTAAAATATTCAGTGTTGAGTCAGGGGCCCTATGTTTGTTTCTTACAAAATGAGCTATATAAATATAATTTCAAACCGCATGCGCTCCTACATCATTCAAGCCATTCAAGCGCTTGCGATAAAATTGAGGTGAGTTGTTGTCCATAAGCCAGAGCATTTTTCTAAGCCATTATAACTCTACTAAAATATTCCGGTTTTTTTTGGCAATCGCCCCAAATTCGTGTTTTTTTTTTCCTTACATTAGGAGCTTTATAAAAAAATAATTTCCGTATGCGCTCCTCTACATTATTACAATGCGATAAAATTTTAGAGAGATGTTGTGCGCGCGCCCGCCCGCAAAGGTTTCTTAAATGATTACAACCATTTTAAAATACTCCGTTTTTAGCCAGGGGTCCTATGTTCGTTTTTTCTATATAAGCTATACAACTATAATTTTAAGCTATACAACTATAATTTCAAACAGAGCTAAAGCATGAATGGATAGCTTTTTAATCAAATACAAATAGTGATATTAAATTGAGTGTGTGACATATTAAGTAGGTTTCTGAAGTAATACAACAATTCTACAATATTCCATTTGTGGAGGGGGGTCCTAAATTCGTTTTCCACACTTCTATTATCTATATAATTATAGTATGCATTTCTATACCATTCATTCGATTGTGATCAAACTGGGTCAAGTGAAATGCGCACTACCGAAAATGTTTCTAAATTAGAAAAAAACATTTTACAATATTCCGTTTGGGCCAGTGACCCTAATTTCATATTTTCTTCTAAGAGCTTTGTAACTATAATTTCAAACAGAGCTATTGCATGTGTGGAAGTAGCTGAATCCACCGGCAAATTTTTCAAATTTAGTACATCCATTGTACAATATTCCAATTAGGGCTGGGGACCCTAAATTCAATTTATTTCTTAAATGAGCTTCATCAATATAATTTATAACGAAGATATCAACACTACCGCCCTTGAACAAATGACACATTTGTAGTAAAGCAGAGAAAACACGTTTTTACATTTTTAGTGTAGAGAGTATTTTTGTTATGTGTATAAATAAGCTTGAATTTTGTGACGCATTTTAGAATCGGAAATGACATCGAAATCGCGTTTTTTTTTTCAACTAAGAGTATTTCTTGAATAGAGTCTTATAATTTCGGAGTTGTTTTGTGTTATGTAAATACATTTTACACCAATCGATGGTTTCTCAAGTAATTAAATAACACACTTGACAGCGTAGATATTGAACTATGGTCATTTTTTACCTCTGGAATTTACGATTTATAAATTAATGAGAAACTATACAACTGGAAATCTCCTGCCAACAATGAACGTACATATTGTGCGAGGTTTTCATGTAAAAAGATGGGAGATCCTAACGTGTGAGAATTAAATTCACCATCAAAACCATTATCATTGTTGGTATCAGGTGACAATAGCCAATCGAAACATTTCTTGGCAAACATACGCAAATGCAATTCATGTTTCCAAATGACATCGTTCGGTGCAACAAATATCGTGCGCGAGAATTACATGCCAACATTTAAAGTAAAGTGAAAGGCTAAATTTACCATCGTGTAGGATCTCTGATGCCAATGCCAAAGACAGATCACAAATGTCTTCAAATGATATCATGGGGAATACTGATGAGCAAATCGATCAGCGTTGTCATATCAATACGGTCACTAAACGAGAAATTGTCGCTGCAATGCAAACGTTATTTTTGCAACACAACGAATTAATTCAAATGTATAGAGTTGCACTTGAAAAGATGCCGACTGATGAATACAAAGTCATAGTTAGAGCAGACCTGTCGGCCAACATGAAAGACAATACAATGCACCAACAATTGATGAAGTGGCGATCATTATAGTTGGCAAAGAATTTAACTCAAGTGATATAATTCTTCATCGCAGAAGTGTTGATGTTCAGCGAGTCTCAGAAACTCATCGCTCATACGTTTGATCGCAATATCCTATTTTATTTTGGCAAGGAGAAGATGGATATCATTTTGACATCAAATTGAGAAATTCGAATAAGAAAGACAGTGCCATGAAATACTATTCATATTTTTTCAAATGAATCTTCCGAAATTGGTTCCATTGAAGTTACTATTTTAAATGGAAAATTTAAACTAGGTGATGTACTTGTGCCATTCACCCCAATGATTCCAACAGATATGCCATTTGAATTCAAACGCCTACAGTTTCCGATGCGACACGCGTCTACAATGACTATCTACAAAGCACAGGGACAATCGCTACAAGTTTGCGGACTAAATTTGGAAAACCCATGCTTCGCCCATGGACAGATGTATGTGGCCTGCTCTCGCGTCGGAAAATCTTCTGATTTATTCGTGTATATACCAAATGGAAAAACAAGAAAAACTTTGAGTATTTAAAAGCTCTTGAAGAAACATAACATGCAAACACTTTCTTTCCTCGAGTGGCATTGCAACGCATGCCGGGTACTCGCTAGTATTATATATAACAAAATATTCAAAATACATTTATTTGCCATAACAAGAAATATAAACTAAAGATGAAGTAAAACTTAACTGTTTCAACCAAATAAAAAACAACGTAAAAAAAAACCTAGCCTACACTTAAATTGTTAACTCCCATTAATATGATTATGATCATACTCTATGTTAAAAGCAATCAAAAAGAGACGACGAACGCTGAGATTTTCAGGTTTGTTTCGCTTCAAAGACCTGTAAGACATCCCCCCCCCCCCCAACCAAGGATAACCTAAAGTTCTTACATACTTCTAGGCAATAGCCTAGGAGGGGGTGGGGAAGGGCGGTCCACCCCGGCCGGAACTTATTATTGAGGGACGGCATTTGCAGCCACCGGCAGAGTTATTTTCGTGGAAGGGGGCAGCAAAAAAAAAAATTTGGAACGCCGCTGGTGGCACCAGGGTTTCTTTCAGCTATATTTCGGGGGTGGGGGGTGGGGAGTGGGGGTACTCCCCCCCC